TCCGTCTCAAAAAAAAAAAAAAAAAAGAGTGATAGAAGAAAAAACTTTTAGTAAAAAAAAAAAACTGTGATGGCAACCCTCTCCTCAAATAAATAGAAGGATCTGAAGATAAAGGTGAGGAAATCTCCTTGAGAGCTGAACAAAATATAAATAAATAAAAAGTAAGAATAAAGAGATTAAGAATATTTGAAAATCAATCCAGAAGTTAAGGCATCAAATCCAGAAGGTTCATCTCTCTTTCTGGAATTCCTGAAAGAGAAAATAGAAAATTGTGGGAATGAAAATATATAAGAAAAAAAAAATACAAGAAAAAATTCCAAATTATCTGGATTGAAAAGTATCCCCAGGTACACAGTACAATGAATGAAAAATACTCAGGCCAAGGCCACACTTTTGAGAAATTTCATATGTACCATTTATTTATTTTTAATTTTTTTTGAGACTCATTGTGTTACCCAGGCTGGAATGCAGTGGCGCAATCTGTGCTCACTGCAACCTCCACCTCCCAGGTTCAAGTGATTCTCGTGTCTCAGTCTCCTGAGTAGCTGGGATTACAGGCACGTGCCACCAGGATAGGCTAATTTCCATATTTTTAGTAGAGATGTGGTTTTACCATTTTGGCCAAACTGGTATTCAACTCCTGGTCTCAAGTGATCTGCCCTCCTCGGCCTCCCAAAGTGCTGGGATTACAGGCATAAGGCACCACGCCTGGGCAACATGTACAAATTTAAAAGTGATTATTAAGTAACAGTGAAAACTACTAGCTCTTAGTATTTTTTAAAACAGTGATTTCACATACAGTCTCACTTTTAAATGGGCTCGAGGGGTCCAGTGTCCCTGGCAACAGAGAATAAAACACTTGCAGGATGTCATTTTCAAACCTTTCACAGATGAGAGCACAGTTCATTAATACCTAGGTATGTTTGCATGTGGACAAGCTTTGGAATGCATGTCCAGTTTCCTAGGCTAAGTGATTGGCTCTTAAAGATACAGTGCATGGCTTCTAATTCCTTGTTATTCCCTCAGGTCAACTGAAAACTGCTTTGACTAGGTAGGTCTGTGCAGCTGACTGATATATGAACCAAATCTGGAGAAAGGAGATATGATGTCATGAGCATTTTTTTTTTCTCCAACTTGTTTCCCTCAGTACCTTTGAGGTACAGTGAATACGGTCACCTTTTCTCACTGTGTGCTCATGTGGACAAGGTTTTACATTTTGATGATCGTCAGATTTCTATTGGTAGGTTTGGGTTTGGGGAACCCTCTTCCCTTCCAATAGTGTAGTTCTAGAATTCTGTCAATGAACAAGTTAGTGTGAATTAATTGAATCAACTGCATCAATAAGGTGGGGGGGCGGTATTTAGTGTCTGTCTCCTCAATGCCAAGGGGAGCCAGGTGAGGGAAACTGACCTGAGTGAAACTGGCCAGTCTCTTCACCAAATCTTTGAGAGTCCTCAGGCTTTGGGAGAATTAGTAAAAAATGGACATGCACAGAATGTAAATGGAAAGTCAAACAGCCTCTTCACCAAGATGGTGGGTTGCAGTTTCCTGCAGCCACACAGTCTTTGTTGAAACAGGGCTGTGGTTATGAAGAGCTATGCGTTCTTAGCTGCTGCAGATTGTGCTAGGAATGGAAACTAAAGCAGTCAGTGGCGGTGACCACAACCCAGAAGCTGAAACCATGCTCTAATTTTACAGAAAATTGCTAGTTCTGGCTCTGTTCATTGCTTATGGGTTTTCATTTAGACTGCAAAGATTACATCTAGTAGATTGCAAGGATTACATCTAGTTGTGTGTGAAATAACATCTTGAAAATTGACTGAAGAAAAACCATTTAGCCCTCACTCATTTGTACTAACCCACAAAACGTCAGTACAAACATTTTCCAATATAAGATACATCCTTTAGCATTGACAGTCAGTACAATTATAGGAGTAAAAAACGGAGGGAATAGCCAAAGCAGCAGTGAGAAAAGAGGACAGACAAAAAAGGAGGAGGAGGAAGAAAAAGAGAATTAGGAGAAGCGAGTTTGCATTTGGGAAAAAATTTGGACTTACATTTATTTATGTGAATATCTTGCCAAATTTGGGAAGTAACAGTATGTTAAAGAAAATGGTGAGAGCTTATTGTAAAGATAAGACTACCTACCAGCCTTATTGGGCCCATGTGCTATTGAGAATTGGCTACTAACAGCTTAAAAATGTTTAGCCTTTTCATCTAAAAAAAAACCCCCACTAATTGTGGGAAAGAGTACTAATCTTTTTTTTTTTTTTTTTTTTTGAGACAGGTTCTCACTCTGTCACCCAGGCTGGAGTGCAACAGTGTGATCACAGCTCACTGCAACCTCTGCCTCCTGGGCTTAAGGGATCCTCCCGACTCAAGTCTCCTGAGTAGCTGGGACTATAGGCACATGCCACCACGCCTGGCTAATTTTTGTGTTTTTGTAGAGATGAGGTCTTGCCATGTTGCCTAGGCTGGTCTTGAACTCCTGGACTCAAGCAATTCACCTGCCTTGGCCTCCCAAACTGCTAGGATTAGAGGTGTAGCCACTGCGTTCAGTCTAGAAAGAGTACTAATCATTTTAATTAAAGTAGACTGAAATTCCAGTAAGAATTTCAAAGTGAAATTGGCCTTTTATTTAGCCTCAAGTTCCTCAACAGTTACCTATATTAGCAGTGAGATTCAACATTTCTTTTCTGTAACACCTATGACTTATCACTTGACTTTATACATAGTATGGATTCCAGATAGAGTTATTAAAAGTGAACACATAAGTAAGTGAATGAAAAGAGAATGCTTGAGAAAATAGATTTTAGAATTATGAGTTATTGTACAGATTCAGTGGATTATGCCTGTAATCCCAACACTTTAGGAGGTTGTGGCAGAAGGATCACTTGAGGCCAGGGGGTTCAGGACCAGCCTGGGCAACGTAGTAAGACTTCAATCTTTACAAAAAATTTAAAAATTAGCCAGATGTGGTGATGTGCACCTGTAACCCCAGTTACTTGGGAGGCTGAGGTAGGATTGCGTAAGCCCAGGAATTTGAGGTTGCAGTGAGCTATGATCACACTACCACACTCCAGCCTGGGTAACAGAGTGAGACTCTGTTTCAAAAGAAAGAAAGAAAAAAAAAAACGAGTTCTGTGAAAGTTTTGATAGATCAAAGACAAGCATTTATATCAATCTGCACCCTATTTTAAAGTTTGTATTCAGGAACCACAAACAAAAATTTCAGAAAGAACCTCCCCAGGAACACAGCTGAAACCTGTATTTTGTTTGTAGGACAAACACTGTACACATGGAGGATGACTTAATAATGTAATTTATTTGAAATATTTCCAGAAAAGTTTAAGGCCATTATACAAAAACATTCATTTCATCAAAACATTCATTGACTTTCTTCCCATAGGCCAACACTTGACAAACCTCTTTTCCCAACACACTGGCTGATGGTTCCTAAAAGTGGCTGATGGCTCCTACAAAGAATCATTCATTCTTTTCTTCACCATTAAAAGGCTGTTCTTGGCTTTCCTCTGCTTCTGTCTGCAGCAGGTTCACTTGCTGTATCAATAACAACTTGAGAAACAAAGCAGTTTTAAATAAACTTGTAATAGAAAAAATTCACCATGTTTAAGATCTATAAATACAGAAATATGTTTTATAGGGTAAAATTGACCACAATATCCTTGTTTTTAAAAAATAAAGTATATACCTTGTTTTTATATTGATATATCCTGTCACACAGCTTCTTTGAATGCACATGATATATGTACATAATAAAATGACATCAATGCACTTACTTTCTTTTCTGTAAACTTGAAAGACAGAAGATTAAAGAAAAACTTTTTGGCAATAATTTAGAATAATTACCACTAGTGCTGGTGTGGGTATAATTTTGCACAGGTCATCCTTAATATTTACACTTGCAGGGAGCTCTTCTAGGTACTTCGCTTTTTTTAAGGTCTGCACTTTACCCTGCACTGTAAATCAAGGCTGGACAAAGAGGTTACTAATCTGGCTAGCTGATCCTAATTCATCAGAGTTAATGAAATTGGCCTCTGGAGAACATAATTACAATTCTGATTATAGCACAGAACCAGAGATGGCAAACTGACAACCCAAAAGCAGAGCAGGAAAGCCCAAGGCTCTGGCCTTTCTCAGCCTCGCTTTTCTCTCAGTGGCTCCCACACAAGGTTCTGACGAAGTGCTTTTCATTCCAACTTCTTCCTCTCCTGTGTTTCTATAAACAGTGTCATCGATAGAGTCATGGTCTCTCTTCCTTGTTGCTTCATTCATTCTCTAAAATATGAGTAGGCCTAGGCAGATGAAACACAATGAAGACAGGGCCTTCTTGTTATCCTGGAAGGCTTTCCTAGGCCATTTGGGTTCTATTCTGATGTTTTAGGCTAGCAACCAACTATGAGAGACACCTCCTGGTGCCATGTGCATTTCAGTTAAAGATTCAGAGCTGGCAGCTGCTTTTGTCCTGGCCCTTTTTAAGGTCAGCCTCTATTTTATGTCCTAATACATTCTTGCATCAAACTTGCACTGGATGAAGTTGCAAGGTTCAGACAGTGCGTCCTCCTTTGCAAAATTAAGCCTTCAGAATCTCCAGGGATGTTTTCAAGCTTTCTAGTTGAATAAAATCAAACCAAGTTCACTTCATGAGTTGGTCTTTCCTGATTCTCTCTCTAATACAATCCCGATACACAGGTGACTTCCTCATGCCCTATTTACAAGGCCCTCTAAATTCTGTGCCTTCAGCTACCACATCTAAGAGCTGGGAAAGTGCTACAGAAGCACAAGAGGAAGGACTCTTCAAGCAATCTATGTAAAACAGTAGTTTCGAGATTCTTTTTCTATTTTTTTTTAAATCCAGCAGGACAATTGAAAGTAACTTGTTTGAGTACCTCTCCATCCATCCAGACACTTGTGAAATACAACACAGGGTAATAGTTGCCACAGATTCCAGCTTACACAGACAGATTGGCAGTTACAGTACTAGGGACAAAGGTACAGATACAAGAGACTGGGTCAACATGTATATTTTCACAAAAGTATGAAAAAGTGCTTCTCCAAACCGTTCCATCTGCGGAATGCAAATACTGTACAGGTAAGACGCAGGCCTGCTTTCCGAAATGTGCATGCTTCTGTCAGACGTTGCTTTCACCATGCCTGCTGTTCCCACAGGAAGAGTCTGTCTGTTCCATGTGCTCACAGTCGAGGCTGACCTCACTTGTGTCCATACTACAGTCTGACTCACTGTCCGATTGGTCCATCTGTTCAAGTTTTGTTTCTCCCTGTAGCTCTCTGCTCCCAGTGGTGGGATTTAGGAATGATCCCTCGGAGTCAAGCACCCCAGCTTGCCCGACAGCACATAAAACTGTTTCTTTGGCTTGACGAATACAATTAAGCCACTGCTGTTTGTTGAAGGTGTCATTGGCTTGTAGCGAGTGGGTCTGACTTTGGGATCCATTTTTGAAACTGACTCTGAAGAAGTTTTTAACTAGAAGGGAAAAACACATGAAAAACAAAGTCAATGGACAGATCCTTCCTCAGGCCAAAGAGAACACACATAGTGACACTAAACCCCAGAATCCATGGCAGGTATTGCTGATAACAAAACGTTTCCCACTGAACCGGGACATGGCTCAGCTCCACCCTGCAGCCACCGTCACGGAGTTGGGGTTGACACAGGTCTAGCGTTCAGCTGCCCTCATTGCTCTCAGAAACCAGGAGGTGGAGATCATCTTGGAACAACAAAGTTAAGTGATTTAGGGGAGCCCAGAGTACTGGTGACCAAATCTGGCTGCATAACAAAATCCCTTGGGGTGACAGCTTGTGAAAAAGACAGATGCCCTCAGGAGACTGAAGTGGGAGCGCTGCTTGAGTCCAGGAGTTTGAGATCAGCCTGAGCAATATAGTGACACCTTTTCTCAAAAAGTAAAAATAAAAATAAATCCCCAGGCCCTTTTTGAGAGATTCTGATTCAGTAGATCTAAAAGTGGGTTTCATAATCTGTAATTTCAACAAGTAGACCAAGCTAGAGCTTTTTTTCAGTTTAAGAGGCTCTTTTTAATATTAAAACATGCCCATGTTTCTCCACGAGAGTATCTATACACTTAGTATTCAATGATGGAGAAGATATATGTAGACAAACTTGGTTTCATTGTCAAATGAAATTACATTTTATTTACCTCAACAGGAGCTATCTGCATTTAAAAGAAATGGTAGTCCACAATATGGAAGACATTTTATTTAATTTTTTTTTTTTTTTTTGAGACGGAGTCTTGCTCTGGAGTACAGTGGCACAATCTTCACTCACTGCAACCTCTGCCTCCTGGGTTCAAGTGATTCTCCGGTCTCAGCCTCCCAAGTAGCTGGGATTACAGGCACGCACCACCACGCCTGGCTAATTTTTGTATTTTTTTAGTAGAGACAGGGTTTTGCAATGTTGGTCAGGCTGGTCTTGAACTCCTGACCTCAGGTGATCCACCCACCTCAGCCTCCCAAAAAGATGGGGTTACAGGTGTAAACCACCATGCCTGGCCTATTTAATAACAACAATATAATGGACATTTAATGGGCCTTGTGTGCCACATGCAATGCTTGGTTCACAGAAACATCTGCAGTCTGTCTCTTTGCACTAACCCTGCAGCCAGTAGACTGGGAACCACCACCACTTCCAATGGCTTAGAGGCTAAGGAACAGAGGGAGAGGAGGCCAAAATGTTTTACTGCTAGCCATCTTCGGCTAGAAGCTAATCTCTGTCCTTCAAATTTAGGCTCCACCCTTTGATCTTGGGCAAGTACCTTAAATCCTCTGTATCTTAGTTCCTAACTTGTAAAATGAAGAAAACAAGAACCTACTTTATATGGTTGTTATGAGGAATAAATGTAATACATGTAAATGCTTATAAAATGCCTGGCACATAGTCAATACTCAAGAAACATAAGCTCTTATTTCTACTACTCCTACTCCTAGGGTAGAGGGATTGATCAGTAGGTAGAAGGCAGTGCATACTAATTACTTTGACAGTATGATGCCTGTGTTAACCCAGGAAGCTCAAAGGTTACTTTCTCAAAGAAGTATTCCTTATTTCATTTAAAACAGACCTCCAGGCGGGGCCTGGGGGCCTGTAATCCCAGCACTTTGGGAGGCTGAGGTGGGTGGATCACTTGGGGCCAGGAGTTCGAGACCAGCCTCACGAACATGGCAAAACCTCGTCTCTACTGAAAATACAAAAAATAGCCAGGTGTGGTGGCCCGCGCCTGTATTCCCAGTTACTTGGGAGGGTGAGCCCCAAGAATTGCTTGAACCCAGGAGGAAGAGGGTGCAGTGAGCTGAGATCACGCCACCACACACCAGCCTGGGTAACAGAGTAAGACTCCGTCTCAAAAAAATACATAAATAAAAATAAAACAGACCTCCTATTGCTATCCCTTCCTATTCCCTTACTGGGTTTTAAGTTTTCTTAACAACACTTAAAGTATTCATTTGCTTATCATCTTTCTCCTCCATCACAATGCAAGCTCCATAGGGGAAGGAAGTTACCTGCTTGTTTCACTGAGTATCATGTTAGATACTCGATAGATATTGCTATCTTGGCTTCTTTTAATTAATTTGTTTATGAAGTCTTAAATTAGGCCCACTGAGTAATGTTACAGATGAACCCACATTCCAGTTGACCATTCTTATGTCTCTTTAGGGACAAGTTTACCAGTTCAACTGCAAAACCCACCATAATGCAAATGGTATCCACGTAGGGACTATCTGGTTTTAAGCATGTTTTTATCCAATGGAAAAAGACAGAGAAAGAGAACTTAAGGAGCACTAACGATGTGCAGATAGGTTCACTTGGAGTATCTTACTAAATCCTTATAACAATCTTATGAAGGAGGTATGTATGCATTTCCATTTTGGAGATGAGAAACTGAGAATCACAGGGGCCAAACAAAGTACATAATCAGGAAGTGATGAGACGCATTCAAATGCAGTTTGACTTCAAGACTGGCTTTTCTCTTTCCACCAGCTGCCCACTCCCTCCAAACTACCACAGCCAAAAACGTTCAACATGTCAACCCCGACTGCTATCCATACTTCTCTCGTTGTTGCTGAATGCCCCTCGCAGGGAGCCACCCAGCCTCACTTCTCCGTCCTGGAGGTCTTCCAGCAGGAGGTCCTTCACAGGGATTGGCTGACGGTACAGCTGGTAGCAAAGCTGCTCATTGTGGGTGACGGCTCGAGTGATCACAAGCACTTCTTGGAACAGGAAAACATGCAGTTTCTAGAAGAAAAAAATCCACAGGCTTTCACTAAGCAATAATGTAATGAGTGGTTGATATGTGGACCTCTGTGGATAGAGAGGTCCCCAGGTACCAGGTTCACACTGGATTATGAACTCCTAGGTTCAAATCTACCTTCAGGAGAACCAAAGTTGGGCATGATGCAGGCACTTCCAGATATGTCCACTGCCCTTCCTGTAGAAGCACCTCCCTAGGGACTCAGTGGAGAAAGCCCTTCTGCCTACAGATACCTGCAGCCAGGGTTGCCAACTTTGGGGGCCCTATTCATATTGCAATTCACAACTTGTACAGACATATCTGCCCCAGCTCCTGTAAGAAAAAAATGAGAAAGGGAAATAGAATTAAGAGGGTAATGAAGGGAAAAAAAGTTAGCACTCTCTTGGCTTTGGTTTTATTACTCAATAAAATTCTAAGTAAGCAGGCCGGATGTGGTGGCTCACACCTGTAATTCTAGCACTTTGGGAGGCTGAGGTGGGCGGATCACTTGAGGTTAGGAGTTCGAGACCAGCCTGGCCAATATGGTGAAACCCCATCTCTATTAAAAGTACAAAAACTAGGCCGGGCGCCGTGGCTCATGCCTGCACTCCAGCCTGGGCGACAGTGCAAGACTCCATCTAAAAAAATTTAAAAAATACAAAACATACAAAAACTAGCCAGGCGAGGTTGGGGGGGTGGGGGCGCCTGTAATTCCAGCTACTCGGGAGGCTGAGGCAGAAGAATCGTTGGAACCCAGGAGGCAGAGGTTGCAGTGAGCCGAGATCACACCACTGCACTTCAGCCCGGGTGACAGAGCGAGACTGTCTCCGGGAAAAAAAAAAAAAAATTCTAAAACATCAAAATTACAAATAGTCTATAAAAAATGAGACTGGTATATCAAAGCTAATATTAATCTTTGCTTTCCAAACCCATAAAAAACACTTGTTCCTTCAACCACAGAGTCATTATCAGCTTTATCCAGGAACTCCAAATCAGAAGACTGCTCATTCCTGAGGGAACCAGAGTATGCTGACACAGCCACAAAGAAAGATCATCAGGCCGGGTGGGGTGGCTCACGCCTCTAATCCCAGCACTTTGGGAGGCCGAGGTGGGTGGATCACCTGAGGTCAGGAGTTCAAGACCAGCCTGGCCAACATGGTGAAACCCCATCTCTACTAAA